TGCAGATCAATGGATGTAGCAACAACACTTACATGAGTCTGGCCTTTGTTGTTTCCAATCGTCATTTTATCGTCATTACTTCCTCGGTAGTAGATAGTCCAATCCTAATATGCATTGGTCTTCAATGTCAGCCAAGTATACTTTCTGTCTGTTTTTCATGCCCATCAGCTCGATAGTTACCCACACTGGTCCCCACAACCTTGCAGAATGTCCTGTCACACCACAGAGCTTCTGTACAGCTTCTGGTACTCCTTTGTTATCCAGCACCTTGATGCTCACAAGGGTTTGCTGAGATGCAGAATCTATGACAAAGTTGCATCTTTGGCCATCAAGCTTCCCTGTCACGTAGATACTATGTGTGCTTGCCATTTTACACTTAGCTGTTGGGACTTTCACGATGGAGGTTGGTGGGCGTCCCTTAGCACCAACCACTACTGGTTTCCCGAAGCTGACTTATTGGTGGTATTTTTCTTACACTGGCTCCTCAGATGTCCTTGCTCCCCACAGTTCCAACAGCCTTTCTGGGTAGCAGCCTTTCTTGCTGTATCATCTCCCCTGTGCTGAAGTTTCCAACATTGAGCTCTCTTATGCCCAGGTTTATTACAGTGCCAGCAAAGTCCCTCAAACCTCTCTGAAAGCTGACCTTTTCTGGCTTTGAATCCAGATGACTGTACCAACCTCGGTACCTCTGTGCTGGACTTAACGTAAGATTCAAATTCGAGAGCTCTGGCCATTGCATCCTCCATGGTAGAGGGGTGTGATTGCTTCACTTGTATCTTACATTGTGGACTGTCCAAGGCATTTACGAACTGATCCCTCAGCAACAACTTGAGGAGATCGGGTGGTGCAGTTGGGTAGGCCTTGTGTGCCATGCTTTCCAAGTCTTGTGCCAACTCTTGCAGGTTCTCCCCTTTAGCACGGATTCTCGTCCTAAACCTAGCCCTGTAGACTTCTGACTGCTTCTGGGTTCCGTACCTGAGTTCCAGAGCCTCTACCAATGCTCTATAGTTGTGTCTGTCGGCTGCTGTCAACTGTCCAAGTATTTCCAGTGGTTGTCCCTTCAAGCTCGTTGCCAGATATACAGCTTTCTGCTCCTCTCTCCATCCATTCATCTCTGCCAGTAGCTCAAATTGTGCTCTATATGCTTCCCACAGTGCCTTCCCATCGAATTCTTGTGGCTTCCTTCCCACTGGATCACTTCTATTACTGACATTCATATCTGAGATGTGACTTCTAACTGGACTGAATATGTC